ACGACACCAATTCTGAGGACAGAGCCAGCCCCCCCCCCCCCCCGCCCCTCCCGCCTGCCTGGACAAAGACAAAAGCTGCAGGTTGGGACAAAAGGCAGCCTGGAAACACCAACAGAACCCCACTCCCCTGCTGCCCAAGATGGAGGCACTGCTCAGGGCTTATCCTTTTCCTTCTCTCAGCAGCTGCTGTTTCCCTGGCCAGGAGGAGATTTCTAGCTCTTGTAGAAAAGAGATTAGACACATAAGGTCTAAAATGAGGAAACCGAGGCCCCAAGAGGTGCAGCTCTGCCCTCTACAGAAGTGGCTGGGAGCAGGGTCTCTGGAGCTGGCTTTCTAGACAGTCAGCAAGCAGGGAAACTGAGGCACACATTGACGTGTTCTCTCCCACATTCATGAGTGTGTACTCAAGAGGAAGAAAGTGGGTCCGAGGAAAAAGCCTCGGATGTCCCCAGGAGCTTGGGGGAAGGCACAGGCAGACATGGCTCTGCCGATAGCCTCACTCTGGCTGATCTCGGCCCCTACCCAAGGTAGCTTCGACCTCCCAACCTCCTTCCCAGCACTGTTGATCTGGCGGCGGGAAACCAGTGTCTCCGTCTGTGTAACTACACCCAGCCCGAGGCGAGGCTCGGAGGCCTTCTCTGAACCTCAGCCCAGGGAGCCACTCCTCAAGTCCAAGAGGTGCAAGTCCTTTTTGAGGGAGGAGCGGGCCTGGGAGCTGGGCCCGGATCACAGCGAGAGAGAGCGCGAAGACAGAACAGCCGCCTCGAGTCTCCTCCGACGGGGGCTTCTGGGACGTGCCGAAAGAGGAGGTGAGAAATCTTCCCAGGCTACAGATGACCCTAACCCAAAGTGGGCCTCCGTTTCCCCATCGATCCTAAAAGAGAGGCAAGATGTGTAACTCCGAGCCCCTCCGGGTGCAGAGACATTCCCATTTTTACGGAAGAGCCCTATCATGCCCTTCCTGTTGCAGTCCCGGGCCTGGCAGGCTCCGGGTCCACAATTTGGCCTTCCAAAGACCCTGCCTGAGATGGCCGGTCCGTGGACTCATGATCCCAGGAGACACGCCAGGTTGGAGACTCAACGTTTCTCAGCGGCACGAAGAGCCTCCGGCCGCAGGAGTGAGGACCCGGGCGCCTCGCTTCCAAACCCCAGCGGACTCCCCAAGCTGCCGCCCACACGGCGCGCGCCAGGCCTCGACTCTGCGCCCCGACACTTCAGAGAGCAGCCCTGCTACCTCCTCTTTCGCTTTCGATTCGGTGCACGCAGGTTTTCGTTGCTGGCCGATTGCTACCTTCCTTCGCATCCACCCCGCCCGAAGGCAGCGCTTTCAGCACAGAGGTCTAGGGAGGCAAGGGGCCAGTCCAGAGACCCCCGGGACGGGGACGCCGCCGAGGGGCTGGTCTTTATTTGTCGAATTAGACGCACTGTTTGAATGCCAGAGGTTTTTGTTTCCCTGCACACCACAAAATGTGTAAAATCCACCCGGGTCATATTCGAATTTAGTCAAAGAAGCAGTGTTTTTAGTAAGAGAGATACCCCTCAAAAAGACAGCGAGAAACCGAGGCATGGGCATTAATAGTAAGAGCCCCTGGGTGATCCTAGGATGATCGAGAGAAAACTTAAGACTTAGAGCTGTGACGTCGCCGACCCCCAGTCAATTTGGGAGAGGAGAAGGGAAGGAAGATTCTTTTAAATTTTTTACTTTGTTAGTTTCTATGGCCGCCAACCTGCTCCAACAGTCCAGCCTGTTGGAGCAGGTTGGCGGCCATAGAACACACACACTCTTAAATAGGAAAACAGGTCTGGATTAAAGGTCTAGTATTATTTTAGATGAATCGATTTGCACAAAGTTTTCTTTATTATACTTCATACACAGTGAAGTTCGCAGTTAAGTGGAAAGTTTGAAGAATTTTCATGTGTGTGTTCACTGTAACTGCCACCTGGATGAAGACACAGACCATTTTCGTGCTGTATATGTAAACGAAAACTTGGAGGAGGGGGTTGTTTTTTAAGTTGTTTTAAGACAATTTCAGAAGAGACTTCGGAGGAGCCAGAGAACTCGGTCCCCCCGCCCCGCCCCACCCCGTTCCTTCTGGTGGTGTTTCCCAAGGAGGTTGACCTTGTAATTCGGGCATTTGCGTGGTCCCGACTCTAGCGAGGTTAACTACGGGCTGCACCAGGAACCTTGCTGCCTCCGCGGTTCTCTCTTGAAGTCGCAGAAGCCCTGAGTTTTGCAGGGCTTCTGAGTTTTGCACCCTGCAAAAGACAGGCCGCCGTAGGGAAACAAGTTTAAAATACGATGCAAAAAAATTCGCAAAGGTTCGTGAAGACTTTCGTTTCAGAGAGCAGTTGGGCACACTTTTCCAGGGACGTACCTTCTTGCCTTGGCTATAGCCCCTTTCTCTCTTAGGGCAGTTCTGCACGTAGCTATGTTTTGTGGCAAACTGAAAAAAGAAATGGAAATAGAGCGGCCTTTGCAGCTGTGGGGGCTGAGGGGAGGTTGGAGTCCCGGCTTTTGGTATTCAGACTTGTCCGCTGACCCCAGCACCAGGGTGGCCGAAGCAGCGTGCGGAGAAAGGAAGGGGGAAACTGCTTCAAGCCCCCCACGGATCTTCAGGCTTGGAATGGGGAATCGGAGGTCCCACTTCAGTGAGCGCACCTTTTGCTGCAAGGAAAGGGGAGTTAGGGGACAGATCAAAAAGAATGCTTGGTGGGAGAGAGAT